CTCTGACTCCATAGAAATGTCAGCGAACAGAAGCAGTATTTTAAAAAAAAGAGGACCAAAAATCCTCCACAATGACATGAGAGAGTGATAATGCCACAAAGTAGATTATAAAGGTTGCTCTACCATCTAATTGTTGAGTGGACTCAATATTCCTCACATAGTCAAACAACTATTGAAAATATGCAATGTGATGCATTGTTGTGAAGCTTCTTCGTTTAATTTCCATGTTTTGTTTTGCTTTTCTTTGTCCTTGTCATGAAGGTGGATCTTGGAGGGAGGACTCAGTCGCTAAGATTCAGAAAACAGGGTTTATTGTAACAAAAAAAAAACAGGACAAGGATCAAAAACAGGGCTGTGGCAAAACTATGAGCAAAGTAACCAAGCAATGTTAACAAAACTGTGGAAAAGTATCAAAACAAGACTGTGGCAAAAGTACAAACAAGATTAACATGACTGTGGTCAAAACAAGGCTGTGGCAAGACTGTGACAAAAATAAGACTATGGCACGAAAAGCTAGACTGTGGCAAAAATATCAAGGAGTAAACAAGGGTATGGCAAAGTAACAAAATAAAGATGAACAAAACTGTGGCAAAACATGGCTGTGGCAAAGGGCAAATAATCAAAACCTTACATGACGTGGGGAGACGAAAGACGAAACGAGGACGGAAACGCACTGGCACAGGACGTGGGAAACGAGGACTATTTAAACACATGAGGGAGGGGAACCCCAGGTGTACACAATAGGTAATCAACACATGACAACACACCAGACATTCCCCCAGACGTGAAAGTCCTGATACACAAAACTAGAAATAATGATATCTTCTTAAGAATGTGCTAGAATGAGAGGAATAGGTGGAAAGACTGGTCATCCTAAATGTATCTATCTGAGGAAGACCTCCTCAGTTGGCACCCAGAAGCCGGGAGCAATGAAAATGACATGAGAGCTTTTATTGCCCTGTGAATCCAAACAAAATGAGTGAACGCTCTCTTCAAACCCATCAGCTCTCCGACCTTCACTGGATCTGACCACCGTAAAAAAAAAAAAGAAGAAAAAACGCACAGGAGATGATCCAGGCGGAGGATGGAGCTTTTATTAATCTCTGCTTTCTTTCAATCCGGTGGACTCCGACAGCCTTTTAACTGAATTGTCTGTGAGGGTCTGAGGAGCCCTCCTGGAATCGAGACACAGCATCCCCCCTTCATCCAATTCACCACAAAAAGGAATCCCGACAGTCCGGTCACATGACCCGCGGCGGCCTGGACCCACTACTGTGGGCCGGGGCTTTTCCACGCAGAACCGGCTGGCTATCTACAGCCGCCTGCTCCAGCTCGATAAGGCCCACTGCCCTGGGAGGAGGTGGACAGGGCCATCTGGCCACATTTGACGGTAAACACTGCCCCCTGGTGTCCCCCCGAGGGGCGGCGCGGGTCCGAGGCCAAGCCATCTCTGACCGGAGTACTGTACACTGTCCAGCACAGATTAGAGCCGTTTTTTCTTTTATTTCCTGCCACCCCGGGGCCCCTTTTTTTTTTTTTTTTTTTTTTTTTTTGTTCCTCATTCCTGTCACTCAAAATTTATCTTTCCACTGCAGACAACAGCTGAGAGAATATTTTGTCCCTGGACATTTTATCACGACAAGAACCAGATGCGTCCCTGTTTGGAATGGACTGACTGTGAGAAGGAAAGGGGAAGTCGGGAAAAAAAAAATAGAGTTAATGTGTCTTTTCCTCATCTGGTTGGATTTTTTAAAACATTTTTTGGATTCACCAAAAGAGAAAAGATGCATTTATTGTGATCTAGTTTAGATTTAATTTGAGTTCCTGCAGCTGCACTGATTCAGGTTTTCACGTGTAAAGCTCCATCAATGACAGACCAAACACACTTTTTTTCATTAGTACTGCTCAGAATGACTTTTAGACTCAGGCAGATGCTGCAGGCAGCAGATCCAGAGTTTCATATGTGAAAAAAATAAGCTGGATACCCCAAATCTTTTTATTTTTTTCTTCTGTGAGAGGGACTGAAAATAGACACAGAACTGGAGCAATAAACCTGATATTTCAGTTGTATTTACAAGGCAGAAACTTCCTGTGTCTGTGAGAATGTGTGTGTGTGTGTGTGAGAGAGAAAGTGGAGAGAGCTCCTTGTTTCTCAGCGGGGAAGCGGGTTATTTTTTTTTTGGAGAGTGTGACAAATTGGAGCCCTTGGCTCTGAGTTAGCGGGAACCAAAACAATGGAGGCTGCATTATTCATGAGGACGGGCTGCGTCGACCGGCTAGAGATGGGATGTCAAAACTGTATCTCCATATCTGATCCCACACTAATAAACAGGAAGCTGCAGTATGATGGCAGCAGAAAAAAACCTCAGCTGCACCCACAGAGAAATGAGCCTGTGTTCAATTTCAAAATGAAAAAGATCTTATGTATAAAAATGGAAAAAAATAAAAAAATAAAATGCATTTCACTTCATAAAGGGTCAAATAAAACATGCACATTGTGATTCTAACTACATATTTTGCACTACCCATCAAATTCGAGCAAACAGCGCCCTCTTGTGTTCATAAAAAATGCTTTAAAACGTCTGATAATACAGCTCATTTAAATTCCTGAGGCGTAGTCTTAAGTCATGCTGGCAGGTTTCAGTGATGTCCTGTGATTCTTATCATTTCAACAACTGCTCTTTCAGTCAAAAAATAAATAAACCTCAGGAGTTTAAAAAAAATAAAATAAAAAAAGGACATCTATGCAACAGTCAACCTGCTGGAAAAAGCAACAAAAGCAGCGTGCATCTCCCAAATGACTAGCCAGAGGTGAGCGCGCCGGCACAATCGCAATTTTTCTTGCATCTGTGGAATGTTATTAGAGAATGAAACGGCTAATGGAGGAGGCGAATCAGAAATTCGATTAAGTGGTATGAGAGAAATGAGATTTTGGGCCATTTCGCAGCGTGAGATAACGAGACAACACAAAACAGGTAAATAAAAGCAAAGGGGGGAGACTTCAATATCTTTTTTTATTAATTCTGACACGCTGTGGTCAGATAGAAAAGTATGAATGTTACACTTTTCAAGTTGCTTCCATGACTTGTGCAAACACTAGACGGTATCTGGGGGAAAACGAGAAGAATGAGCAGGAGAAAAGGAAGCCATCAAAATGTGGAGGAGATGAAGAAGTGCATTTGAACCTAGGTCTTTATGCAGTATTTATTGATTACCAGCTTCATATAAACTGGATGTTGAGGCATAAACATATTACATTTGAACAAAAATATAACCAATATTTACAATTATTGTATTAAAAATACAAAAAACAACTGATACGTACTCCACCGATTGTCTTTTTAAAAGACATACAGGTCAAAGTAGTACAAGAAAGCAAGAAGAAAAAGAAGGTCATCACCAGCTAAATGTACATATCTCACTGACATCACACATCAAACGGAGTAGCAGTTCTACCTACTACACTTATCTTTATGCTTGTACATTTTTGTGCAACTTTTTGTTTTTCAAAATTGGACTCGACCCGCTAATACGCACATTATCTTCAGAGTTGAATGAAAGTGAATGATGCATGTCACCACTGTATTACAAATTATTAACAATCTATCTGCAGCCATTACAAAAAAAGGACAATAACCCCCCCCCAAAAAGAAGAAACCAAAGAAGTTATTAGTGTGTAGTCACAGAACACAGTGGAAAACACTGCAGTCGTCCGTCTTTTTCTCCTCAGTCTGTGGTTCCAAAGACTGATCAATGTGATCAGCGCCACGCAGTGAGAGAAGAAAACAAAGCTTCTTTTCACAATTGGATTTTTAGTCATTCTGATTGGCAGCCTTGGGAAAAGGAAAGAGGAAAAAAAAAAAAAAAAAAAAGGCTTCATATGTCATCTTCTCCACCGGAGTCAAAAAGAAAATAAATCTACATCTTAAGTCACTTCCAATCGAGCTGATGTCCTTTTTTTCGGAGGAAGAAGCTGGAAGAACGGCAGCAGAAGCACCTGTGGAGACGCCATTAGCAACACGAATCTGCCCCCCCGCCCCCCCCACCCCCCCGTCCACCTCCGATGAAGCTACAAACAAGCCGAAAAGGAAAAGCCTGACCGGGGAGAGCATCTGGAATAAGGCATTTCACTCCGCCCACTGTTTGATTCCACACGCCGCTCTCCAGGGGAGATGATTTTGCATCGTGAGCCACCACGTACGCGAGCATGTACGCATCATAAGGCGCTTGTGACATTCACAAGGTGGATGTTCAGGCCGGATAAAGAGCCGGATGCGAAAAAAAAAGGGTGGACCGTTTGATTTAGAAGGAAAAAAAACAAAACAAAAAACTGTACAAGTTGTTCTATCGAAGAGTTCAAATCGCCTCAAAAAACGTCCTGATCTCCTCCTCCACAGTCTGGACTAGCGTTTGTACATTTCCGGCTTTAGTTCGCTGCACAATTAGAGACAAATACATTAAGAGTTTGACATGATTTTCGGTGGGTGTGCTTTTTTGATATGAGGAGTACTCTTCCCGGGGCTTTGTGGTGGTTCACTCGTATTCTCTGATTGGTCCCAAACGCTGGTTAGCATCTGGGATTGTGCTGAAAGTGCTTGTCTTAAACTGTGTTTTCTCTGTCCGCAGGCGTGTAGGAAATGTGTGTGTGTGTGTGTGTGTGTGTCGGGACACTGCATGTAGACGGAGCCCTCCGAGCTTTAAACCAGCAGGTGATAAGCGTTCATGTGTGAACAGGAGATAATACTGGATTCAGATTTCAAACCCTCGACGACGGTCTGTGTGTGTTTCAGCCCAGAATCGGTGGACTGATGTGGTTCCTGTCCTCTGCCTCCAACCAACCAACGGAAACAAAGAAAAATGCAAAAAAAACAGGAAAAAAGGGAAATAAATCGAATGACTCAAGCCAACCCATTTTTTCTATCACCGTCCTCAAAGTCTTTTTTGTTTGAATTTGTTCTTTTTTCTGTGTTTTTTTTCTTTTCTTTTCTTTTTTTTTGTAGAAATTAGAAAAAGGAGAAAGTGCAGACGAAGCTCAACAGGTGATGATGCTGTCGTGTTGACGGGTGGATTTGGGGTTTGGGGTGTGGCCAGGTCCACCTTCCCCCCCCCCCAGCCTCATTTCCCCTCAGGCTTCCGCTGTCTTTTTCGCAGTTTTTGCTTTCTCATTTTGTCCAAAGTGCCAGGTATGTCGTCGTCCTCCTCTTTGAGCATCGCTCTTCTTCACAGTATTTTTTCTTTTTCTTTTTTTGCATGCAGGGTCACTAAATCCCCCGTGATGCTTTAAGGCAGGGGAGGGAGGCGAGCAGAGGGATCCGCGGGTTAGGAGGGAGGGCCAGGTTACGGGGGCAGGCACGTATGCGACGGGGGGGGGGGGGTCGGTCTCTTTAGTCCTGCCCGCGCCAAAGCCGCCGGACTTCAAGTTTCTGTAAAACGGCCTCCACCGTTCGCCCTCAGACGGCCGACACCTGTTCATCCTCTGTGAGCAGAAAACGACAAAAAACAGCCAGAGGTTATAAAGTCTGCAGGAAACTCTGGACTCAATAACACACAATAACAGTTAAAGCAGCCAGATGATGTTCTGAAGCGAAAACCTGCCTTCTCATAGGCATTTTAAAGCCAAACTGAGGGAGTTTCTGAGCTCTTCCAGTCTGTGCATCTGACTTCTTTTGATGTTTGATAGGCTTTAGCTTTGCAGGCTCTGGGAGGGCTGTTTGACACCATTTGTATTACAGCTCGTTCAGATGTAGTTCCCCTGATTTCTGGAGGTCCTTTTTCCACTGAGACGGGTTTGTGGTTCATGTCAGTTTGCAAAGCTCTGTGAACTCATTATTTTTAATTGTCAAGAATACTGATAAAAAGAAAGCCAATGTCAGCTATTCAGAATAAAAACTAAAGACTTAACGTTTGAAAATGTTTCTATTTCATCTTGCTAGTGTCTTCGGAGAATGGAAAATAAGTTTTTGGTGAGAACCCAAAGGGTCCACACGACCGTGTTAGGTCTGAATGGCTAACTACGTCATATAATGGGACACGCTCACGTACAGGCCTCATCAAACCAACAGTTCCCTGGACCTGGGGGACAATAATCACCAGGTAACCACAGTTTTTGTTGGAAAAAATGGCACGAGAAATAAAAAAATAATAATGTTAGCAAAAGTAGTAATAATAATAATAATAATAATGACGATAATTGGATTTTTTCCCAGTAAAACGCCATTTTTAGGTCTTGTATTTCAGAGTAAATAGAAATTTCAGCATCTCTCTGATTCGCTGGATGCAATTACTACCATTTACATCATCTATCCACATTTCTTTCTGTGCAGCAACACAAGAAAACAACAATGCAAAGAACCAGTCGCAGCATTCAACGTGTGTGCTGGAACAAAGCAGAGAGGGTGGACGTTTAAAGGGGGAATCGAGGGGACTGTGACCTCTGATGGACGCTGCTTTAAACAGTGTGAGAAAGCGAGAGAGAAGAGCAGAGTGTGTAGATCATAAAGGCAGTGCGACTCCGATCCGATCAGCATGACTCATGCACGGTGCTGTGCTGTGGGTTAGAGACGAGGGCCCCACTCCAAATAACCACCCGCAACATCAAAAGTGACCTCCGCGTGTTGAGTTTGGAGTGGGGCCGATCCCGCGGGAGTGAAGGAAGGATCAGTTTCATTTCAAGTGTGTGTTCCTGTTCACATGCAGGTTTTGACTGGAAGCGGAGGGGGGCGACCCGATGGATGAATGAGTCTTTACCTGCCTTGGGAAGAGGGGGCCCTGCCTGTAAAGCCCACACACTCTCAGGGTCTGGGACTCTCGGGTGTGTGCTGTGCCACTTGCTTCCTCAGAGCCACAAGTTTGGCAGACAAGGACTCACCCTCCTCTTCCTCCTCGGGCTCTTGCTCCTCGGCGGGCGAGCGGGGCCGCTGGGGGCCCCCCGCCCGGTGCTTGGCGCCCTGGTGGGCCTGGTGGGGGTCCGGGGACTGCGTGACCATGCGCGAGCGCTGCAGGGCCGTGGTGTAGTCGGGCGGCCGGCGGCCCGAGTGAGTGGCGGCGGACGCGGGGGCGGGCGGCGCCGGGTGCTGACCCTCGGCGAGGTCGGAGATGGTCAGGGCGGTGTAGCCGGGGGGAGTCGGGGGGGGCTCGCGGTATCGGCCCTCCTTTCGAGCTGGGGGAGGACAACAGAGCAGATGATGAATCAGAAATGGCCTGTAATGGAAACGGATGCTGGTCTCTCATCATATGTTCTCTAGGAAAACAGGTTTAGCTCCGGGAAAAAAACTCCAACTGCCAATACTCCTGTAGGTTTGTGTCCTATACCACCACCTTCTGGCAACAAGTTACAGCTTAGTTTATTCATTCATCCTCTTTTAACCATGGAAACGTCTGTTTTGCAACTTCCACAGATGAATCTGAGTTTGGCTTGAAGCCTCTGATTTAACGGATGTTTAAACAACGTCTCTACACTTTAAAGCCTGAATCTGTAGAATCATCTTGAGATTGTCCTTCCAGTATTTTCTAGGACAGCTTAACTAAAAGAGCACAAGACCAACAAAAAAATATCATCTAAACTTCTTTTTTTTCCCCAAAAAAATGGAATAACACAACATTTGATGGGAAAAGCCGCTGGTTTAAAGCTACACTCAGGATGTTCTTTTATTTTGGTAGCTAAGTCGTATTGATTGTTTGAACATCCCATCTCATTCATGACATTTATGACTGCAGTGGTCTATGTAGTCTGGACTTGAGTTGAGTGGACATCAGTCACTCACAAATAAGGCCTTTACCCCCAGCGGTGATGGGTGATGGGGTGGGCCGGCCCAGCTGCTTGGCCTCCTCTGATCCAGTGGATGTGATGCTACTCGTTTCCGGGTCGGCGTTGACGTCCTTTCCCCCCCGTCTCTTGATGGTGCCCGTGTCCCCCTCCGAGTCCTCTCCCCAGTAGGCGGCTGAGGATGAGGAGGAGCTGGCGGAGGCCCAGCTGCCCCTGGCTTGGGCCGCCCACAGCGCCGCGGGGCCCCCCAATAAGGCCTCTGGTCCGGGGGGGAGTCCTCCGAGGCCGCCCCCGCCGCCCCCGAAGGCCAAAGTCTCCCAGCTCCGGCCCTGCTGCATGGTCTGGATGTTGTCGTGGGAACCGGAGGAGCAGGAAGTCCAGGACCCGCGGCCGCTGTCCGCGGCGTCCAGAGACACGCGGTCGCCCTGATCCTGAGTCAGCTCCTCTGAGCTGGGCGAGGAGAGGACCGTGGGGCAGCCGGAGTAAATGCCCCGGCAGTCCTGCATCGATGAGTAGGACCTGATATATGCGTGGAAAGGGAGAGAGAGAAAAAATGACTAAAACCCTTAAAAACGTGTTCATTCTAACATACAGCGGGGGAAATAAGTATTTGACCCCTTGCTGATTTTGCAGGTTTGCCCACTAACAAAGAATGCAACGATCTATAACTTTAATCATATGTACATTCTAACAGTAAAAGACAAAATCCCAAAGAAAATTCCAGAAAATCACATCATATGAATTTATAAAAATTGATAACCATCTGATGAGGAAAAATAAGCATTCTTTGTAAGTGGGCAAACCTGCAAAATCAGCAAGGGGTCAAATACTTATTTCCCCCACTGTATATTTACATCGGGTACTGCTGGTTCTTACCCCAGACTGTACTGGTCGGGGTCAGTGGTGGCTCTTCTTTCCAGCCGGGGTCCCCCAACGTGGGAGTCCCCCCCCCCTCCAGAGTGCCGGAGTCTCCGCTCGTCCTGGGCCATGTCGAAGGAGGAGTTGCTGACCAGACTGGAGCGGGACGAGATCTCACTGTGACCAGAGTCAGAGTAGGCATCCCCAATCCGGCCATAACCTGGAAACAAGAAGACGATCATTCATTACTCTGATTTTTTTCAATAATCTACAGTATATATGTTGTCATGCTCACTTTTAACTTAACTAACTATATAAAGTGAGACTCTTAAGTGAGACTCTTAAACTGCATAAAGTAGCACAAAGCTTTGTATCTGCAGGCTGACATAGCTGCAAAATTCTTTCAATAATAAATATTATCTCTGCGAGTAAACAGGTTTCGGATTACACACTGCAGACATAAGCCGTGCCATTTCCATCTCAGCTACCATGTTAAAGGATTTCTCCATTAAATTCAGACCGAAGCTGCAGTTTTTTCTACAACTTTCTGGTTTTCAGCAACGCTGAAGAGAGTGGAAAACATTCTGGGAGCATGACGGTGCTGGGAGATGTGCAATTACGTTTAGGAAAGAATGGAGCAACCGCCGTGTGTGTGTTTTCACCCGCTACAGGCAGCACTCACTGTGGTATTTGCTGTAACTAAAATCAATTAATTGTGCCAAGTTGGCTTATTTTCCAGTTTCATTTAATTTTTTCACTCAGGATAAACTCTTCATAGAAAAGAAAAAATGAAGACTTTACCATTTTCTCATTGCAATTGTTTTGAAAGTCAGATTGAGAAGATTCTACCTTGACTTGACTTTTATTTGTACTTTTTTACAAAAAGCTGCCAATAGCCAATAAAACCTTTCTAAAAATGTCAAAACTACTACTTAAGACCACTTTAAAGAGTAGATGAAAAAATGTCAGTTTGGAAAGATAGACATAAGGGGATTTTTGCATCTAACTGAGGGTGTACAAGAACATTTAATCTGCTTTAGCTCCATACACTGAAATATACACACTGGAGAAGTGTAGTAATAGAGAATAGATTTTGTTCAATGCCAAACAACAACGGTTTTTTTTTTAAGGTACAGTTACTCTTGACTTGACCTTTAAAACAAAACAAACATATCGACCTGAGCTGGTGGGAATTTATTAGCCTTGGTTAAAATGATTGCATGTCTTGGAAAGAGTAAAACATCTCCTTGCATCTTTAAATAAAAGTAGGAAAGTAGGCACTTGAGAAACTTCACCTCAAACCATTTAGGTGTGACAAATAATGAACCTCAATTATTCTTATTTCAGCAGTGAGTTACTAATTTGTTAACATTATGAGTTAGAAAGAGGAAATACATGTTAGCAGCCACCAGGTGGCATTTGTGACCCATTTTGTCACAGAGGAGGAGATTCGGGAGGGAGGGGGATTATTGGCTTACCCTTCTTTGGCGAGCTTTGGGGGGAGGTGGGCGGGGAGGAGAGCTGGGAGGAGGCGTTAGACACCGTGTCCTCTGGCTGCCTCCGGTGCCGCTCGGTTCCCTCCTCAGACAGAGACAGGATCTTCTTCAGAGACTGTGGCGAACTGGTACCTGTAGACAGACATTTGCAAGAAATTGAGCAGCATTAGCATGAGAATGAGCATGGAACATGGCCATCCACCCCCCCCGGGCTGCCTGGATGCCAGCATGCATTGTCTGGGATTTTTTCGCATAAGCTTGTTTTGTTGCCGGTCGGCCTTTGGGTGGCAGCACTGTTTCAGAGAAGGCTGAGGGAGGATCTGCTATTGTCTGCAAATTACAGGATGAGGGAGACAAAACAGGGCTGTGGTGTAATGAAGAAGCAGAGATTTAAACAGGCTATGTTCCATGAAAAATGTCTTATATCTACCGGCTCTATCAACAAAAGACCTCTAACTACATCCACTTGGGGATGTTATGAGGGAAATAGTTGGTTTGATTTAAGGAGCTTTGAGTTTAAACATAGCTAAAATCCTACAGAGCTCTCATTTCCTTTTCTTTGTAATGGATTTTTCTTCGCTGTTCTACTATCTTACCAAAAGGCGGCAGCTCTTTGACTGGCACTCTCTTTCTGGATGGGTAGAGGGCCACGGCGGGGACCTGCAGGGCCTGGTTCCCTTTGGCCAGCTGACCCCGTTGCTGACTGGCAGCTCTGGAAACGACTGGAGACGTGTCCGGCCGCTTCCCGCCGGCATTCTTGGGCACTGATTGTAGATGGGAGGGAAAAGTTGTGTTTCAGATTGAGAGAAATATGTGTGAAGGGGGAACTTACGAGCAGGCAGGAATTTTTCTTCCCACACGATGAAAACAAATGTAGAAACTGAGTCGGTGAACGAAATTGGGAGTTTTAACCAGCATAATGAGCCTATTTAATCACTGCCTCAGTATGTGGTCAGGGCAGTGAATCCTAAATATGTGTCCGAGTAAAGGATCGAAAACCTTGTGTGAATCCTTCAGAAAAGGCCAGCAGGGGACAGTGGAGCTGTGGCACACACTCACGTGTACTGATGGAGGGTTCACACTGCAGAGACAGCGTCTGCAGGCTCTCCTCGTTGGTTTCCAGGCTCAGGTTGGACAGGTACTGTTTGACTTTCCTGGCCATCTGGGCGTCCTCGTAGAGCTTTTTGGCGTTCAGGAAGGAGCTGCGGCGCACCCGCTTCTTGTGGCCGCCCGTCTGGCTGACGTCCAGCACGGCCGCGTTGGCACTGCCCTGACTCAGAGACCTGCCCATCCCAGAGAGGAACACCCATTTACAGACAGGCACAAAAACAAACGAGCAAACAAAAGACGAACAAATAGAAGAGGACAGAAAGAGACTTTGTTAATGAACAGCTTAAGGAGCGTAAAATAAGTCCAGTTGGAGGTCAAGCTGAGTGTTTTACACTAAGGGGCCACAGGGGGGAGCATGAGGTTTAAACTCAGACATGCAGAGAACAGTTTTAGGTATTTCTCTCAACTCCAAAGCATTCCAGGCATTCCAGGCGGTGGGAGTGGGGTTACGGCTTTAGGGCTGTAGTCAAACAACAGGAGGACTGGGGAGTGTAGCTAGTGTAGCGCAGTCATAGTTTACATTTCTGTGGCTTGAGTCAGAGCTGGTAGTAAACGTAGTAAAAGCTCGCGGCCCGAGCCAAAAATCACCCTGACCAAAAATCCTGTTGTAATGTGGCTTCCAGTGAATCAAGCCACATTTGTTCTTGTAAGTGGAAAGATATTTAAAACATCTGACAGAAGCACTGCGCCCTCACAATGTTTTCGACATGCCATGTTTCCTTAATGAAGATCTTATCCTAATAAGAAAACAAGCTCAATAAGAGGATATCCAAAAGGCACAACTCTTCAATTATGAGACAGAATCTTTCTTTTTTTCCTTCCAGGTGACTGTAATGCGCTTGCATGTGTTTCCCATTAAGTGTGCAGTGTGCACAGTGATGTCCCATTCGACCACAAGAATGTAAAGCATGTATGAAAATAATATTGTGTCAAGAAACTCTGCTGTTTGACGACTGGGAGGTTTAAACCTAAGAGAAGATAAAAGTCAGTCTGCATGCATTTTGTGAAAAACAGAATACGTCTCAGAAGGTCACATGTGCACGCACGGTAGTGTCCAGTGTAAACACGTGCGCGCATATGTGACCTTTGGTTTATTCTGTACCCTAAGGTTAATGTCAGGCGGGGTTAGTGGGAGGACTCAAGTCAAGCTGGTTAATGAAAACGAGGCACCAGAAAATGAAGGAGAGCAGCACACAAACTGGCAGAAAGGTGGGCAGAGAGGGAGAAGGCTAAAGGAGCACCAAACTTACCCTAAACTTCTCCACTTCTTCTTCCTAGAGGGTTGGGTGCCATGAACATAGAAGTGTGGGGTGCAAAAGGGTGTACGAGTAGAGATAAAAACAGAGGAGACAAAAGCTTAGGACAGGAAAGGTCACCATGATCACCAAAGAACAGCAATTTCACCAAAGAGCCCACATGAAAGTCGGCAGAGAGGAAACCAAATGGCCAAACCTCACCAGCAAGACACAATATAGGACAAAGGCACATCTTAATGAAGCTCTGAGCACATCTTACACCAACAATGTGAATAAGGAAACAGTTGCCAAAAGGAAAAGCGTGAAGCATATATATCAATATATGTGAACTGGCTGACCCCGCAGAGCTGCTGAGTCAGCGCTGACTGCTCCAATAATCTCCCATCTGGATTTCTTTTCAAATGAAAGTTTCTTTACCTGGTCCGGAACATGAGGGCCGGGTCCATGTTGACAGATGCCATGCGTCCAACGTGACGGATTTCTTTGGCAATCATCCTCAGCTTTTCAAAGTTCACCAGCCCATCGACTTTGGAGTCATTACCTGTACATTTAGGAGGGGAAATGAATACCAATAGCCCATCAGTTACAAACCTAAACTGACTAACTGCAGGCAAAAGTTGAGCACCATAACCCCGTTAGAGCTACAGTCAGGTGGTGAATTAGCCATGTTAGCCTAGCTCAAGCTGCATTTTCCATTTGGTGTTATCTCACCAAGTAAAGTTTTACAATAAATCTGTTTGGAGAAAGTTAACGTTTTGTTTAAAAAAAATACTTAGGAGTTCAATGAGACCCAGTGGAAAAATAATGTTAAACAATTCTTATCACTGACTACATTTCAGTCCAAATCACATATTCGGATGGATAAAATGACATAAAATGGTCTACTTCAAAACAGCATATTTGTTTTAACAATGGGCAGTTTGGTCTGACATTAATATATCTGTCAAAATTACAGTTAACCTGTAAAGAATACTGTCAGCTTAAAACAGCAGCGGATGCGTTTATGCCACATCATCTACCTTCATGAAGGAAGGTGAGGTCCTTCTTGATGACAGGAAACAGGGGGATGACTGGAGGCTGCAGGTTCTGATTGTTGAGCACGTTTCTGTACTTGGCCATATTTCTGGAGGGATCGAACAGGTCCTGCAGGTCTCCAAACAGCTTCTCATATTTGCTGGGTAACTTTTCCCATGTTCCTCTCAGTCTCGACACCGGTGCCAAGTTCAGACCACTGTAGGGAAAAACAAGAGGTTTAAGAAAACTGCGAGAAGAGCGGCAATCTATGCAAAGCAACTGTTTGCTATAACAACAGATTAAGCAGTGAGATAATTAGCTGGTTCAGATGGGACACTAATGATTGAAACTGGGGTGAAAGAATAACAGAAAGAAGATCATTTCTAAGTGTGGGAAAAAAAGCAAGCTCTACTTTTGGTGGTTTTTCCTGGTCTCACCTGATGATCGCGAACATGGAGTTGAAGTTCTTGCACTCGCGGCAGTGCAGGGCGATTTTGATGAAGTGTTTGATGGTCTTCATGCGTTTGAGCTGGTTGGGCTCCCTCGTTACCTCGGTGGCCACCCAGAAGGTCTCCTGGTTGATGGAGTCCTCGAAGCGCTTGAGGCTGGCCGAGCCGGTCTTGGAGCGCAGCTTGAACAGGTCATCGATGTACTCGGTGGGCTCGATGGCGCAGAAAAGCTCGAAGGCTCGCATGGAGAGCTGAGTGGCCACCTCCACCGTGCTGAGCTGTAACAGGGAGATCTGGCCTTCTCGGAGCAGGTCCTGGGCGTCCTCGTCCGAGCACAGCGTCTCAGTCTCCATGTTGCTCTTTAGGTAGTATCTGGCAAAAGACATGGACAAGTTTAATTTTTTTAATTAAAATCTTTAATAACGGTCAGTTTAATTCTATATTGTTAAGTTTGAATATTTAAAAAAATGCACAACTACTTGTAATAAATTTGAGTTTTTAGAGAAATGGTTATTGGTCCATTTCATACTAATTGATGTAATTTCAAAATTCATGAAAAACAAAACAAAAACTCATACAAAAGAGACCAGCGGTGGTTAGCACGATCTTACCTGCCGCTCAGCTGGATCCTGTCAGCTAGTTTGGACAGCTGATCTGGCAGCCGCCTCTGTTTGATGACGCCCTCCGGCGTGACGGACACCTCGCAGAGGGAATACGCCTCGGGCGCCGCGGTCAGGGCAAACTCCCGGATGGCCTGGGCCACCACCTCCTTAGCCGTCGTGTCCTTCCCAATCATGATGTACCGAGACTGCTGGTCCGCCTTAAACACTCGCAACACCTGGTCCGACATATCTGAGGGGAAAAATCCTGGTTGTGAGCGTGAATCCTCATTCCTGTGCCACGTGATTGGAAGAAACTCTTTCTAGGTAAAGACAGAACTCAGTGATTGAAGGCGAAGTTTAGCATGTGTGATTATATCTCGAAGAAGGAAAAAAACACGCCACTTTCTTGGCGATGACACCTTAAAACCTTGTTTCCCATCATTCATCAGTTTGATTTGAAACAGAACCCAGCAAAGCGCACAAAATCACCCAAATGCCCCACAAAAAGCTGCAGATCAACCAGATTTTTGCCGCATCATGGAATTACAGCTACAAAGGGTTTGTAGGTATGACAGACGCGAGACTTCGCAGCGGAAAGTACTCACTTAGCACGACTGGTACTGAAAAGAAATAAAACATGATGGACATTAATGTTTACGGAGAGTTGCAAAATGTAGTTGCTGTTGCTTTAATATCTTTTGCTTCCAAACATGTTTCAAAGCATTGAGTGTTTCTAAATAAGTGTCCTGGGGTAATATGCTCTCCCAGATGTTGTATACTGGTGTCACCTACATGTCAGTCCCTCAGTGAAGCACCACAACAGTTAAATACACACCAGGCTGGTTGTTGAAGTCCAGGATGCGGTGGTGGGACTGCAGGAGGTCAGGGTTCGACGACGAGAGGTTCCCGCTGACCGGCAAAGCTGGCGGGATCTGTTTGGACTGCTTCATCCCTACAATGCTATCGTCCTGTGATTGGCCCACGCACACTTCACTGTGGAAATAAAAGGGAAAGCAGAGCGGAGGGGAGGAGGGTGAGACATCAGTTCCATCTACGGCAGGCAGAGGGCGATATGTGGACATGTTTGGGCAGGACCATCTATACAAAAAGAGCCGATTTATTCAGGATTCATTTCACTACACGGAGTTGTTCTATTCCTTTACAGTCTGTCAACATTGAAAAACTGTCTTTATAAGCAGCCCTGAATGTTGATTGGATTATTTTCACCGTTATTAGGTCTCATTACTTGTATGGTTTCGGGGGCAGAATGCTGGTGAGCGTCTTATCGAAGATCTTCTTCAGCTTGTTGCGTCCTCCCACCGAGTTGGACTTGGCCTTCTTGCTGACCTTCTCCAGGCCCATGACCTGTTCCACGTCCACGGCCAGGTCTGGGATGGAGTAGCGGCTGGCCTTCTTGATGTCCCCGATCTTTGGGAGGTGGGGTGCACCGTTCTTCCGATCATGCTCCTCATCCACGTCCAACTCGTGGTCGTGTTCTGGCCGTGTTAGCAGCTCCTTAAACACTAACGGGGGAAAAAGTGCTGAGCGTGAAAAAGTGAGCGGTACACAAAGACAGCACATACGCCAGATGTGGAACATGGCTGAAATTTACCTAAAAGATTTGTCTTCACAGTTATGGACAAATGGGTGTTGTTCTTCAGAATTTCAATGGCTTTGCTGAGCTGAACATTCTCAAAATTCTGCCCGTTGACCTCCAAGATCTGTAGAAAGAAGAGATTAAAGGACTGCATCAGCTTATTTCTGAAGACTCTGTGCCATAGGAAACATGTCACCAGCCAGAGCTTTGGCAACAGCGAATGAAGCGATAGCAAGGAGGCTAAAAGCTCTGGTTTTTCTTACTTTGAAACAAAAGTAGTCTTTTTCTCAACAAGTCTCTCTGTGCTGACAATGCATATCTATGTATGTGGATTTATAGTCTGCAGCAGCAAACTGTGCCATCTGAAGGAATAACTGACTCCTGTGGGCTACATTTCACCTTAAATCCACACATAAAAACTTCCCAGACACTTGCTGTAACTGTTCAAAAAGCTGGAACTTGACATTGGAAATATAAAAAAAAGAAAGGCCATAAACTCCCAGCCTTTAGTATTTGAGATACGTGAAAATAAGTCTAGCACATGGCTTTTGTATTCAGATTTGTTTCCCTCTGTCATTATGTCTTAAAAGCTGTGTGCCGGATATTTTCCATTCAAACCCAATCTACTAACAAAGCTGCCACTTCCTCTTTGGAGGAAGGGGAAGTCACCTTTAACAGTATGTACACTACATAACCCCATCCACTTTTAGAGGCTTTTAATCACCAACTTACAAAACGGATCTGTTTTGAGTTGTGATGAGTGTGAATTTACCAGAAACTCGCCAGGGAAAACTTATGCTAAATGGCCCCATAACAAACAGGGAAGCTAATACAAAAGACAGAAAATGATAGGTCCCTAATGAGTGAATGAAGCACTGAAAAGTGAAGGCGTGAGTTGTCTAAGTGGGTAAAAGCTGCCAAGGAAGTCAGATTCGCTGCTTCCTTTTGGGGAAACAGCTGCAGGGGATGTTTGGAGTCAAGAGGGCTTAACTCACATCCAGACACACAAGATGGTCTCAAGGATTAAGAGACTTTGCTTAAAGCCGAGAGGCCTGCAGAGTGTGAAAATGGCTGAGAAGTCAAGTTGTGAGGAGAAAGTCAACACGGGCTGCCTGCAGCTACCGACAAGTTCAATTTTCGACTTCTCAAAAGAGCTCTTTTAATGCTCGCAAAATCAAAATGCAGAACCAATTTCACAACAAAAATGAGCTTTAACAGGAGAAAAAGATCAATTTAAATGCTGGTCTGTGTGAGCGAGTGCAGTGATTTTCCTCCACAGCCGCAGCCAAAAGAAATGAAGGGGCTCTAAAGGTCGACTGGTCAGAAAAATAAAAGAGAAAAAAAAAATCAAACCAAAATCAATAGCAGATGGGGACGAAATTAAGATCTTTCATTGGGGATAATTTAAGATGAGGACCCTTACCTGATCCCCACGCTTAAGGCCTGCTTCTGCTGCCTTGCTCCCTGGCTCCACGGCATCAATGAAGATGCGGAACCCTTTTTCTTGGCCTCCCAGGAGGCTGAATGCCAGAGGAGAGTCTCTGGACGCCTTGGTTAAGGTTACCAGCCGCGGCTTGGCTTTAGCAGCACACGCTATGTTTAACAGTCTGAGGTGCCCACACATTTTCTGGTAAAAGAGAAAGAAATCAATCACATTTTTAAAAAAGTAATTTTTTAAAAACATTTCTTCGTGCACATGCTGGCTATGTGTTTAGATATCACACTTACTTCTTTCTCAAGCATGTTTTCAAACTCCTCCAAAAAGCGAGTCATGGCGGAGTCACCCTCAAAGTCATTGAAGTGATTGTTCACCCACAGCAAGACTACCCGTGTAACCTGTAAAAAGTCCAATCAAAAGCCATGCATAGGTCAGTGCTTTGTGACTAAAGTCATCATCATCTGAAACATCCATATGTCCTGATATGTGTATGCAGTTAAAAATAAGCCTGTAATGACAGACCTGAGAGTGTTCAGTTATTCTGTCGTCTCTCACTGAAACGTGCACTTCTGGCTTTGATTACCTTGTCCCTGAGACTTGAGTCGTGAAACCACTCCAGGAGCTTCTTGCCCACGACCATGGGGCTAGAGAGGAAGGTCCTGTACGTCAGAAGGAAGTCCTCGATGTAGGTGGGATCCACCACCGAGTGCTCCTCCACTAAGTGCATGGTGAGGCGCTCCGGTGTGCCCTGTTTAGGGTCAAATGGTTACGGATTTAAGCGTCTTTTGAAAATTCCATCACGTGCTTAAATGTGTGAGCGGCGGTTTGTCACCTTGATGACGATGTGCCCTTTCCTGGTTCCTGTGCGGTCCAGTTCACGGTGCTCCTTCACCATGACTATCTCGCCTTCTTCTTCGACCTTTTGCATGTTCTTTTCCACCTGGTTGAGGATGCAGCAGTATTCCTGTTGTGCTATGCAAACAAACTGAGAAAAAAAGCAGGGAGCGGGTTAAGCCATACAGAACTTTACAGAAACATAAATTAACAATATGAGTTAAATACCACTGTCGTGCAGTACGTTTTTTGTAAATAAGTGCCATATATCTATTCCTGAACTAAATTAAGCCTAAATACGTTCATCCAGCTGGCAGATTTTACCTAAAAATTACCTGATAGGCTGAAGCTGGCAAAAAAAGGGGCATTCTATAACCTGGGGAAGTCATTGAAGACGTTTATATCTTAGGTTTCACTGTTTAACATTTCATTCTCGGCAAACATGTGATGTAAAGGGCGTAAGCTTAGAGTTTGCACTGAGTTCTGCTGGAGAGAAACTGCTTCTCACGTGCAAAAGGACTGTTTTGCTCAGGGCACCTCAATGTGTCGCGAGTGCAAACACTTTGAGCACAAGTGGGTTATGGCAGGATTTAATAACTTAAGATGACAGGACTCCTGCCACTTTTTTTTCTCCACGCTGAAATGCGAGGGAAATGGAGCTGTTAAAGCTAGCGGACCATGGCAGATCAATCCCAGCAGAGGAATGCTGAATTAAAAAAAAAAAAAAAAAAAGGAATCCTACCTGGCAGTCATCCACCTTGGTCTTCATGACACCTTTCATGAACTCCTTCTCCATGGTTGGTGACACCCCGAAACTGTTCCCCATATACAGGACTTCAGTCCGGCTGTCGGGGTAGGTCACCTCAACCGAACCGTTCAGGATCACCGACCATGAGTCCAGCTGCAGTGACAGCCCAAAGACAAGGCCGTTGGAGGTTTGGAGGAAAAAAACGAGAAGAAAAAAGGCGGAAATGAATAAGAAAGAAACAAAGTAAAGTGGCTGTTTGGATGAGATGCGTTATATAATAATATTCCCAACAGCTGGCATACCTTAATGAGTCAAAGATATTTCGCGAAAAAAAAAATAGAACCATATGCAGTTGCAGTAGCTATAAGGGGGTGGCAAGACTAACATATGGTTTCTTTCTTTCCTCAGAGGGATACAGTGAAAGGAGGCGGTAACGAGGACAAAGTAACAACCTCTGATTAGAAAAACATTATTTTTTAAGTGAAAATATGGATTTTCCTTCAGAATTACAGAAAATCAGTCTGCAAATAAATGTTCACTTAACTCAAATATCTTTTTGAAAAGAGCCAATTTGCTATTTGGGTCTCAAATGTAGAAGTGCAGTGTAGTGAAAAACAGTTTTCCAAGAAAACGCATGCAATGTATAGATCTGAGAGACACTGAGTCTAGGTTTTGGTGCCTGAGGGATCCTAAACGGACCTAGCAATAATGATGTCGGCCATTTAAGTTTAATAGAGCAGAAAAAAGCATGAAAGGGAAGAAAATGTATTTGTGTGAAGAGATGAGAGTAGGGTTCACTACCCAGAGAGACACACGCGTATAGGGTTTAAAGAAGACACAGTCCCCGGACGGGGATTGTGTGTTCCTGATTATGCGGCGGCACGCACCTCCTCTCCATCGTTCAGGACGATGGTGCCGGCCCGTTCCACCACGGCGAAGACCATGACAGCGCAGAGCTCCCTCCTCACAGACATGGTCATGTTAGCAAACGCTGGCAGTTGATGCATGAACTCCAGTAATTGCTCTGTGAGAGGGACAAAGAGGAGACGGCGGAGGGGCCTTTCAGGAAAAGCGTCATTCAGTTATATTCAGTTTGCAAAGCATCTCTCTCCATGCAGCCAGGAAGACACAAGCCAGTGATGGGGCCCGGTGAGCAATCATTACATGCAAAAGAGCCAATGATTGATTGTATTGATATAAACTTTGACGCAAGCCAAGAATAATTGCTGACAAATCATTCTATGACCTTTGTGTGAGTTAAAGGAGTCGCAGGAGAGGCTGAAGTCACGCTGACTGCTGTCAAGGCGGACCGAGAATAAGCAAACTGTTTTAATAAGTGTCTAATGATGAAAACGGCTTTACACAATTCAAACATTTCTCCTAATTCAAATCCAAGAGTCAAATGAAACATAGAGGGAAATGTCGGCTGAGATTTGTTCATGTTTAAACCATCATGTTATCATTTCCCTCTTGAATATTGTGATTTTAAACTGAATTACTGATTATATATATTAAAAAAAGGATGTAATAAAGATAAATAACACTCCAAAGCCAAATAAATAAGTGGCTTCTCATGTGTCTTGATATTTTGCATCTACATCCAAGTGACTGGACTATTCTATTTCAATATTAGGGAGTGCCCTGAGAAGAAATCATACATGAAACTCAGAAATACGGTCCAGCTTCCTCGTATGAAAAAGGGGAAAGCACCCTTTCTCTTCCCCATCGTCTGCATGGTCTGTGGTTTCCTGGCCGACCGGCAGCAGTCTGGTGCACCGGCTGACCTGGGCTTGGCTGGGCGACAGCCTCGTGTACGGAGCTGCGGTAGTGCTGAAAGTTTAATGCGCTGGGAGAGGTGAGGCGAGAGGATGTGCTGGAGTGACCTAGAAAAAGCCTGCCAGCAGGGGATGGTGGGGGGAGGGGGGGGGGTTGGCACGCGCCTCTTCTCTCTCTTCATCCAGCGCATCATCCCCCCCAACGTCTTCATCAGCAGCTAAGCTCCGCGTGGGGGCGCTCCTTTTTTTTTTTTTAAACGTGCCTATCATTAGCGGTGGAGTTGAGTCATAGCTTTAAGGGATATGATACCGAGAGCCCGATGTGGATTTGAAAATTACTCGAAAGCCTACAGCATGAGCGACAGAAGCGCAGACTTCAGACTGGTGTAAATGCACTGTGGCTGATTTAAATAAGAGAAGGCGGAGTGGCTTTTCCGGGAGAACTGCATTCATTTAAAATAGAGAAAAACAGCAGTCCCGGGATGGAAAACATTGTGTTTTTTTCCCCCCACTGTTATGTTTTTCATCATTCTCCAAACGTTATCTTTAAAGAAACAACCTCTGTGGCAACAAAGGAGCAGAAAATACACATTGCTATGTGCAACTGTGTATTCTATTCTGTTTCATGTTTAACTTTAAACATGGGAAACAGGAGGAATGGAAAACTCCATCTAGGTGTTCACCTATGTCATCGTCTGTCCGGTCCATGGGATCCTTCTCTAGGCAGTCTCGCACGATGTCCCGGCTCATGAGGGGGTCTGAGGCCCGCTCAATATCCTCCTCGTCATCGTCCTCCTCCGAGTCGACGGCGGTCTCTGGCAGGCCACTCAGGTCCATGTCGCCCGACTCGTTCTCTGTGGCCTGAAGACAGTAAACAAAAGAGGAGAGATGAGCGATTTGATGAACGATGAACACGAAGAGGGACGCAGCATCTCCTCTCCGGGCATCTGCTGTTCCCAAGAGCATCGAACAATGGACCAGCAAAAGTCCCTGCATGTTCAAAGCACACCATGAGTGGGATTTTCAGCATTTTCAAAAAAACCCTCATCGATTGAGTGAACAGGACGTCTCCCAGACATCCTCTCAGACACTGTATCCCCAACCAAAAAGCTCCAAACGGTAAGTAACGCTGTAAAGATTACACCAACTTCAAGGCACAGCCGAGAGGCACCGAGTACAGTATGAGAAAGACAGGCATCAGCAATGCATAGCAAACAGCCTGCTATGCATAGTAACAGGCTAATTAACCGCCAACTTTCTTCTGCTCTGCCTCTCAGCAAACTCCACAGCCCGCCTCACAGCCAGATCCTGTTCTTTGAAAGCACCAGATGAGATATGTGGGGAGCTGTGAAAAGCCGCTAAGATGAAAAAGTGAACGTAATGCAATTACTCGTGCATGAATGCAACTATCGGCGCTCTTCGGCTGCTCTCATCAAAGAAAAGGCACCGAGAGACGACAGAGCCCGCATTGCTCGGGTCTCAAACAGAGAAAAAAACCCAAAGCGGCTGAGAAATAATAAACACAAAGCATCAGTTCTGTTACCACCCAACAACAAACCCTTCTTACCCCAGTATGATGCCCGGCCTCGAGCTTCTTATGAGAAAGAGAGGAAAGGGTCGCCTTCGCAAAGTGTTCGCAAAATCCGAGAGCCACGCGCATCTTCGCCTGCCGGGCTGCCTAAATGTTTTAATGTTCACAGTCCTCACAGAGACCCTGTGTCACTTCTGCCCACACACCATGTGCTAAAGGCTCATTAATGATTCAGCGTCTGACTGGCCATCTGAGTGCCATTGGTGCAGACCCCCAGTGGGCGGAGCCACGGCTGGGTCTGCAGAGATGAGGTGGGATGTAGGAGGAAGGCCTCAGATACCTTCAGCAAAGAGCAGGATATGCTACACTCATCTGACCTCAAACAAAAGACTGATATGTGACATTAAACGCTGTCCATCAATAAGTATTAGTTCACCCTGAACTAATTCCCTAAAACACCAAACTTTGTGCCGTACAATACACGCAAATATATATTTATATGTATCAAAACAGCAAAGAACACTCAATTGCTTGTCTGGAGCATCCAAAAACATGGAAAATGGAGAAATACATTTCACATTTTCAACATAATGCACTGTATTTAAATGCTATTTAAATGGGAGCTTTTGTTTTCACGTGGGGCAAATATCAAAAATCCATAAATCTGCAGACAGCATTCAGAGCTCCTGGGCGAGTCAGGTGCTGTTAATATTTCATGAAGGCTATTCTTGGATCAATGCTTTCAAAGGACCAATTTCATGATTTATTCAGACACAAACAGAGCGCCATGTTGGCAGTGACGTGAGAATGATGTGGAACGCTTTGCTTCACTCCAAGAGCAGCAGAGAAAGGACAATATCAGGACAATAAGGTCATTTAATGTTAAGAAAGGCAGCCTATCCTCAAAATGTACTGTTAACTGGATTTTCTTTTTGCAATATGATCAAAGGCAACTAACCGGCCACAACTAATGCACAGGAAGAACGCAGAACACAGCACACATCAACAAACCAGCAACAGGAATTCAAGCATTTATTCATATAGCAGTTTTTAAAACCCCGTGATTTGTTTATTTTTTAATTATCATTGACAAAAAAGCAGCAAACCTGAGACATTCACATTATTCCAAGAGAAAAGCACATACACACCTATTAGTAAATTAATATTGAGCTTGACAGAGGTGTAAGACAAGAGAAAATAGAAACGAAAGACTGAGACAAAGAGAGGTTAAGGCAAGTGGAGGCAGCGTTCAGAGACAGAAGGCCCACAGTTGCCAGAGAAAGCTTCAGTAAAGAGGGAGAAAGTGAGAACAGGGGAGTAAGTGTGATTCCAGCAGAGGGGAAAACCAGGAGGCTGCCACAGAGCGGCTAGCAGATGGCGCTGAGACTGGGATCACAGACTGGGGACAGCCGAGCCTGTTCAACCTGCCCCAAACAGCCAAACATGGACACACCTCTCTGTGAGGTAGCATAAGCTCATACATGCTCATATAGACATATTCCAAAAACCAGCACCAATGCCTGCACACAGAAGAAAACACAGCCGGGAAAAGCTGTGCAGAAACACAGCGAGGGTGACTCCGTTTACCCCAAAGCGCGGCGGCAAACGCACTTAAACCCACACACAGCAGGTGACGGCATTAGCATTCAATGGGGGGGGTGTGTGTGCTCTGTTAAGAGGATTACTTTCAGGGTTCGGGGCGAGTCCACAGTCACGAGATTCTGTTTGCGTGTGTTTTAGCATTCCGCGTTTAATTCTGTGCTTCCGCCGTCACAAAACAAATATCTGTGAAAAGTTGTGGTGATTTTAAGCAACGCTGGGGCGCGGGATCGTCTCCTGGGAATTTACGTCACAGCTCCCGGGGAGTTCTGTGCTCTGCTTTGAGGTGATAAAAGGCGAGGTGGGGGGGGGGGGGCGGGGGGGTGTCAGGATGTAGGCTGGACCACCTGCTCGCAGCCAGCAGGCTGTCTGTTAGCCGCCTGTGGGGGGGCGACAGTCTCCTGTCAGTGTAAAAGCACTCCTGGTGGAAAAACCTTTCAAACGAACCAGAAAAATGTCCTTTTTAATGAGATTAATGGAAATGGTTGAACTTTTTTGACAATTATATTTGAATAGTTAGTTTATTTTAAAGAGTTTAATTCATTTTGGTCCTTATTCATTAAAAAAAGGAGGAAAAAAAGTTATGTTTGGACAAACAGCCTCTTCTGTTATCAACTTTCCGGAGGGTTCCAGGCTGGGCATCCAGAGCCGGTGAGGGGAGGCCTTACCTGATAAATGTCTGACAGACTGCTGCTTCCAGAGTCGCTGGTGATACTACATCCTGAGTGGCTGGAGGAGACGTGGGTCACCTGTGGGTGTAAGCCGTCGGCCAGGTGAAGTCTGCTGAAGTCTGCGGGGAGCTGCACATACACACATATACGACACACACACAGATGGTCAGTATCAGCCGGCCCGGCGGCCACCTGGGTCCCTCACGGCCGGACGCTTGACCACAGCAAGTAGCATGAAAACGGTTGAGGGTGCGATAAAAAATGGCCTTCGTAAGCTTTTATGATCTTTTAGCATCCGTTTGCCGTTTTGGGTGAAAACAGGTAAATGTCTGGCTTAAAGCAAACGGCGTTTTTCTGGATCTTAAACCAGCTGTGAAAGAGTTTTAATGAGTTTTTATCAAAGGGTCACCTAAAAAATGAATGTTTTTATTCCATCTGTTCTTTATTTCCTCTGCAGTGTTTACAGGGCATGAACAGAGCAAAACTATTAATCAGTGATTATGCAAGAAGATGCAAAAATACATCTAATAAATAATAAATCAAATAAAACATTAGCAGCTGCTTAAAGCCTCTCTGGTCCTCAAAGTGTCACTTTAAGGGAACACTCAACCTGCTGTGACGCGTGGGAACAAATCTGACAAAATAAGCCCGGAGCTTTGAGATTCATGCCAAAAAAATAACCATTAGTCTGCCTAAATCCAAACTCCGTTTTATTCTTCTTTCACAGCACAGAAAGCGCTTTCTCGGAGTGAGTAAACAAAGCAGCGGCAGCACCGAACATCAAGGAAACTCCCTAATTAACGTACATAACTTGAGTGAACTGAATGAATGTCATGCCGTAAACGGGGAAAACCCCTCTGAGTAATTCATACTGCATAAAGTATTCGCTGTAATGAGGAATACTGTAAGAGAGCCGACCCACTTCTCAATTAAGATGACCCTAAAATGTAAAATAGATGTCTTTTTTTTTGCTTATTTAAACATTTATAAAGTAAAACATCTTCAGTTTTCCTTAAATTAATGTATCAGTTACAGGTGACTGTTTCCTTAATTGAATAGACATAATTCCTCCATAATATAACATATATAACATAAGACAAAACCTTTCCTAGAAGAACATAAATAGGTGAAATTGCAACCTATCAACTTCTAGAGATACGTTACAGATTATTTAACTATATATAGATCATTCCACTCATTAGAGCTCCACAGAGCTGAATTATGAATTTAATAAATTGTAGTAAACTGGTTCACGGTGTCTATAGATGTGAATATTTTATGGCCAAATGATTTATTTACCAAAATATATTTGATAGTCAGCAGGGAGACCATTTGCTCTGAGCCACTTTCAGCTCCACTTCTGGCTGTGGCAGATCATCAATATTACATTTTCATACCCAAAAGTTCAGTTGGGTTTAAATCTAATCCGGTTGTAATGTGGCAAACAAAAACATCTGGAGACATCAAGGCTCAGTTTTCTTGCAGGCTGGAGGGGAACAATTTCTGCATCTAATTCATTTTAAATGTGGGCTGAGCCAATAAAAACTTCACAACCATAACCGTGCTTCAGTGCATTTATCTGAAGAAGGCCAAGAGAATTAATGTAAGAGATTCTAATGAGATCACCACCCCGGTAGGTTTGGAAATCCTATCAGGACAAATGGAATAGTTTGGACGAGAATACATCTCAGAACGTTCATTTGCAAGTAAATGGATTCAAGCCATCATCGGCTCTCAAATCTACTCCATGAAAAGTCCCCAGCAACATTTCTGAAGCACTCATCTCTGTCACGCTTTAATTAGAGGGGTTTTGGGTGGGAGGAAAATGGTGTGCATCCAGAATCGTCGGTGGAGTAAAGAGGACCGGTTTGGGACGCGATATTCCCGACGAAACGCTGCGGCAGTCGACTTCTTTCAGAAGTTACTCACTCCGACGCCGTTTGAGACAAAAAGCGGAAAATTAGATGGATCAATTTACAAAGCGTCTCTCTGTATCGGTGACGGGAGACGGAGAGCCAGACAGTGGGGCTGCTGAGGCTCTGAGGTGTGATGTGATTACAGTGTGTCAAAGGCTGCCATCACGTTTAATTATCTGGCTGGCTGCACTAACCAAAATGGTCGACCGGAGGGCCCAGTCAGTCACTAACCCCCCCCTCGGGCTGCTGTTTCCCATTCCCTTGTCTGGTCGACTTCGCTCGGAATGCCTCCAGCTGAGATCCCTGTTATTATCACTGGCTGGACAATCTAGTGGGAAGAATATATTGTTGATTGGTTGCGATTGCAACCGATCCCGCAACCCCCCTCCGATGACTCCTAGGAAGCAGTGTGTCCCACTGTAACCCCGAGCACAGAGCTGGAACTGAGGCTGTGGCTTTTTCAGCATTCTGACTGACGTCTGCTGCCTCCGAGTCTTTGAGGACCAGCATCAGTCTGGGAGGAAACGTGGTCTGGATCCAGGGATTGCCGGCACCAAACCGATGGACCTTCGGGGTCCAGCGGGCTGCCCCGGTGCTCTTCAGACTGCTGCATTTTATTTGAAATATAATGTAAATACTTGAATGCCCTCCCTAACACGTTAATCTGAAGCTGAGCGTTTAGCATTTGCTGCTGAAGGCTGCAAATTCGACGACTTATTGTGCAGTTTTTATGTGAACGGGACTGAGCTCGATGGTCTGTAGACCCTGTTATAGACCTAATAAGGGGGTACCCTACCTCTTTATCCAGTGACAGCTGTGACAACCCCCCCCCGAATAATGATATGCTTTAAGCAGGTACACATAATGGATAGATCGTTTCCAGAACCAGCCGGAAAGGTCCTCCGTCCTCCAAAAGGTCGTCCCTCCTCCCTTTATTTCCCCCTGGAATGGGGGAAATAAATGCAGGGGGATAAAAAGGGAGGGCATGAGAGAGGGATAAAGGGAGGGGATAATAAACACTTAATCCATTCTCTCCGCTCATTTAGGTCATTCGTCTGTTGGTCAATAGGCTTAGGGCTCATTCGGTCCTTGAACATGTGGTGGTCCACTGACCCCTTCGGCCCGATGGAATGCTGGAGACTGGGTCAGGCCGGACGCCAAAACAACGATGACCACACGCTACCCAAGACTTCTCCACCTATAGTCACAACAAGCCATTGAAATATCACCGTGTGGCCTTCACTCCGAACTGGGAATGCATCGGGGGTATAGTAAACCTCGACAAATTTACGACCTCTTCCCTAATTTGCGTCTATCTTTGTTTTTTCTATTTCCCCTGAATGGAGAGTTCTCGTGCAAACAAACGGGCCGAGTAGAACCGCGGGTCAGCACCACGATCAGCTGTCACGGGAGGATTAAGCATCGCCGTGGCGCCCGGGCCACAAAACTCAGCTCCGCTCACATGTGAGCAGATGTGGCGCTCCTTAAATTACACCGTAGACCTGATGACCCAGTTTGCAGGGTGTGGGGTGGGGGGGGGGACTGCCGGGGCTGAGTGTGTGCTGCAGGTGGCCGGTGGAGGGGGCGTTTCGGAAAGGTGGCAAAACATCAAAGAGCCAATAAGAAAAATGAATGTCACAATCTCCTCAACGGCTTCAACCGAGAGGTTCTCCTGGTCGTTTTGTGCTGCGCTAAACATAACGAATGTGCTTAAAACTTCACGCCCCGTCGTTAAATGAACAATCGCCGGCGCTGGGAGGCTAAGATCCCCTGACCACGGTGGCAGCTTCTCGCTTTCCTCAGCCTTGTGGATCAAGAGATTAGAATCCCTTTGGCTGGGTGTCTGGTTAAATGGGTTTGATATGCTCTCTGAGCTTGCCCTTCCCCAGTTACAGTTCTAGAAGTCAGTAACACAAAACCGGAGGTTTGACAACGGGAGGCGACAACCCGACATTTGTTCCAAATGCCAGTTACTGAGAAAGAGACCCGGGTAGAACGTCAGCACCACAAGTCCTTATTTCCACTCATAGATTATGATACATCAGCAGTATAGTGTCTGCTATAGCAAGTCGTTAACATGGCAATAAAAAGCTGATGATTTCATCTGATCTGTGCTTGTATGTCTAATGCGTTTTCTATCAGTAATGATGAATAGCAACCTTAAACTTGGAAATTTTGAGAGAACAGATGCAAGAACGGAGTAGCTGCTGACACCAGATAAGATCAGGATATTGTTATGCTACCGACTTGGCCCATGGTGGGTTACCTGCCGGGATAAATGGAAACGTACACAACCCCCCGCCTGTATGCAAAACGCAAGAAAACAAAGGTCATACAGAGGGGTGGGGACCCCAAAAAAGCATTTGTTATAATGTTATGAAAAGATAACAGTTACCACCAGCCAGTGTGTGCGTGTGTGTTCATTAAATCAGATGATAGATAAAAGAAAGCAAATCTCATATGGCTGAACTTCTCAAAATTAGCCAAATGTTACTTTGCTGGAATGTTTTCTTTTAAATAGACATACTCTTCTGTCTCCTTAAAATAAAACAAACTCTTCTCTGATAATGGGAGTGATGTGCTACATGACACATAGCATGGCCTTTCCTCCAAACACCATCTAGACACGTTGAGAAACAACAACCTGCTCAAATATAGGCGAGTAGGGGGCGCGACAGGTTTACTTATAACACACGATTGTGAGTGTAAACCCGGTGTTCCAGCCTGTCCTACGCTCTGTTTTCTGTGACAACAGCGTGTAGGACAATGTTGTCATAGACAACATGAAGATTTCCACATGCATCACGAATCTGCATTGGAAGCAACGCAAACGGTGAGAAAAACTGGTTGAGATTTTTCATCCTCCATGAAACATCTACGGATATCAGAGGAATATGAGGGTTTTTTCTCCCCGGGAATCCGTGCCGCCGGCCCGGAGAGCGTCCGTCAGGGTGATGCGGGGCCTGTCCTTTACCTGAACGGGCCTGAGTCTGTGTGGTCTCCGTGTGGGAGTGATGCCAGCCGAGCTGACAGTCGATCAATCCCTGTTCTGTTCGTGTGCGGACCGCCTCGGGCCTCAGAGGCCGTTGAGGGCCTCCAGCACCACGGACAGCTCCACCGGCCTCCGGCTACCGGAGGACGCACCAATACCTGTCCGTGTTTTCCCCTTTACGCACGGGGTCGACTTAGCTGTTCTCTGTTTAAAAAACAAGTCCATCTGCATCCCGTTTCGTGGCGCGTGCAGACGCCTCGTCGTGCACACATGACATCACATCCCCAAAAAGCATCTTTGCTCAGAAGCAGAAGCATCAGGTGTGGTTAATGCCAAATCTGAGCTCTGCATTCTCATTTCAGTGCGTCGGAAAAAAACGCGACCAGCGGAGAAACGTCGGTCCTTACACACACACGGAAGACGTCTGCACGTCTCACGCGCGCGTGTGTGTGTGCGTATGATCGAAAAAAAAAAAACACACCATTGCTATACATCTAAAGATGTATCCATGTATAAAAAAAGGCTCTTCTTTATAAAAACGCACGTTTCCATGTCGGAACGCAACAGTAATATCCACGTAAAGGCGCGTGCGTGTGTGTGTTTGCGCGCGTCAGTGACAGCAAGCACATGGCGGCCGTTTCTAGTACAACACACTGACACACATCGGGGGCTGGACGAGGGGGGGGGTAACAGGCTGGTATCGGCCCCGGTGCGCGTCCATTCCTCCCACCCTGATGCACCCCCCCATTACGGGCCCTAATCACATCTACGGCCATAAATTAGGAGGGGGGGGGGGGGGGTGATGAAACGCTGGCTGTCGATATAGACTACTTACCGGGGTTTTATCCGGCTGGCTCGGGACTCCATTGCTGTCTGACGCCGCTAATGGTTTCATAATGAAAAAACGTTCACCGGCCTCAAATCTAACATCCCGCACGCGCTCTAGGCTACCGAACGGAGCTCCATCTTCCATCGGCGGCCCGCGTTGGTCCGTGGGAGGCGGCTTTAGGGAGGATCCGCGGCTCCTGGGCCTGACGGGAGCCTCCGGAGCAGCGTCCCCCTGCGCGCGTATTCCAGCAGAGTCCCGGAGAAAAAGGGCTTCAAACCACCGCGGAGGAGGATGGGAGAGAGAGGGAGAGAGACCGGGGTGGGGTAGTGATGGTGGGGGGGATCCTTTTTTATCCGGGAGAAGAACGGTCAGCTTCTTCCCGCTCCGCGCACTTGACAATCACATCTCCTGTTGGAGACGCGCCGATAAGACGAAGAGGAGGAGGGAAAAAAACAAAAAAAGCGAGAGAAGCTGGGAAAAATGGCTGACAACACTTTCATTCACGTTTACTCCCTTCCTGCCGTCGCTCTCTATCTCGGTGCCTCTCTCCCTCCGGTCGAAACGAAAAGGAAAAGCAACAAACGAAACCGGGGGCACGCACGCGCGCACGCGAACGCCTTTCTGCACCATTAGATTATTTTCTAGACGATCCGCCTGCAGCCTCCGCCGAGGCTCTGTAGGTTAAAGCCCGTGGTTTGTTTGTAGGGGGGAGCAGGGGGGGGATGTGTGTATGTGTGTCAGGGGCGGAGGAGGGAGGGGGGAGAGGGGGGGGGGGGCGGTAAGGACCTCCTCCCAGCCTGACAGTGATGCTGTAAGAGCTGTGCCCCCCTTTGGGGGACTGACAACAAACCCGCCACAGATGCAGGGATGGGAAGAGGAGAGGAGCGGAGGACTAAAACGAAAGTGATTACAAGAGATGACATATCATGAGAGGATGAGATGAGATAAAAAAATAAAATCAAAATGGATAGATGAAGAGGAGGAGGAGGCAGAAGTGATGGGAGGGAGAAACGGAGTAGAGAGCGCGTAGAGCCATTATCACACTGATTTTGGCCCGAGACGGCGGCTGGAGCTGGTTGTCATGGCAACCGAATGTAGAAAAAGCCATTTCCTGGGCGGGTAAGTTGAAGCACTTCCTCTCAGGGCGAGTAAAAGAGGCAGAGCGAGTGCTGCATCACCAAAGAGGGGAAAAAAAACACAAAAAAAATAAATAAAAAGAGGTGGGGGGGAGGTGTGGGAGTGCAGATGGACGGAGGACGAGGAGCACAACTGCAGCGGTGATGTCACACTGTCACTGTCACTCAGCTGGAATATCGGCATGGCAACCGGGGTGAGCACGAGCCCCCGCACCCAGCCAGCCAGCCAGCCTCCCCCCCCCCC